TTAAAAATGATGTCACGTACAAATTTTAATTGGATTCATTAAAAATATTTTATGATAGAGATTTCATAATAGCTCAACTGAAGGAAATTTGTTGACCTCCTTAGACTGATAAATTTATGGTCCTTAAGAAGCTTTTCACTCCTTAGAAATATGTATAAAATTGTATTTTAAGTCTTGCTATTATGCATCACACTGTCTTTTCTCATCCTTTTTCCCTTAAATGTTCTTATAATCATATGTGATTCAGGACATTTTCAGATGACTTTAATGTATTCTAATCTAGATTTTCTCCTGAAAAAAATAGCAATAAAAATAAAAAATAAAAATAAAATTTAAAAATAGCAGTATTCTCACATTACTCTCTCTCTCACCTATTTTTTTGTACTTTATGTATGTGGTAATTGTTTTGTCTTCATAGTAGAACTAATTTGAAAGAATCCATCAAGACAATTTTAACAAGCTGTTTTTGTGCTTAAGCTCGTGTTAGAATATTGTTTTAAAAGGTATTGCTATGTCTTATGTATTAATGCAATCTAAACTCATATGGAAACTGGAAAATGACTTGTCTTCTGCAATTTTCTTTTTACTCATCACATCTGGAGTTAAAATTCAAATGAGACTTAGCTGGAGCCAGGTAGGATGAATATAGCAGACTGAAATTTATTTCTGTGACCTCTATTTTAGAGGACCAGGCCATACCTAAGAGACAGTGTTGCTGAATATTAACAAAAAAAGTCTTTTGCACCTAGCAAAGCATCCTACCTCTGAACTCTGTTGGGGAGGCTTGGGGAAGAGTAACAAACATATATATCAATTCCCTCTAACCTCAGACTGTTTCTATCTCAGGGACTTCCCATACTAGTTATGGTTTCAGTTAATGAAATGAATGAAATCCTGATGGATTGCCTTTAACGTTTGAAGATTTTAGCACTTATATTCAGCAGGAGCACTTTTACATTGGTAAATGTGATGTGTACAGGGGAAAAAAAAAAAGCTATTAGAAAATTAGAGTTTGCTTTATGTTTGTCATTTGTGCTTTGCCTTGAAAATACCCTCCTCTGGCATTTCATAAATGAAGGTAATGAAAATGAAAAAGACATGCTTATGCTTCTAAGCATAGTCTCTTCCACATTATTCATATTTCTTATGTCTTATTTGTGATCAGATATAATACAAATTAATCTTCCTTTTGAGAAACTTGGAGAGACAAACAAATTGGAGCAGGATACACAGTTCTGGGCAGCAGTTGTGAAGAGGCATAAAGACAGAAGAAATTTAAAATGAAACAGGGTTTAGAAATAATCAAAGAAATAGATTAAAATTCACTAACTTGTTTATTTTGTATATGTTTGCCCTTGATTAATTTTTCACTATGATATCTTGGCTGTTCAATGTATCTTGTTGAGTTTGGCATTAGATTTTATGTAAGGGCAACATCAGAAGCTTAGAAATTGAATTTTTTGGTTTTAAGAAAATATATAAAGTGCAAGAGGGGAAAAATATTAATTTGCTGTGAAGATTATGTCTCATTTTAAGATGTACTTGTGAAATTTCTTTTATTAGCTAATAAACAGTGTGACAGAATGAAATTTAGTCTTTCATTTTTATATTATTCTTCATCAAGTGTGGTAAAAGTCAAATAAAATGATTAGTTTTCTCACATGTGAATTCCTTTACATCTTAAAAAGTTGGTGTCATTTTCCAGTACTGAATTACCTTTGTGAATTTTGATATTATTTTGAAAGAGAAAGAAAATATGGCTTTCACACACTAGATCCTGTCTTTTTCCACTGGAAGATTTTATACCCATCATTGCAGTACAAATTTTTGTTTTTTACAAATTTTACAAAAGTGTGTTCTAAGAGTTACTTGAGTAGTGCAAAGCGCTGGTTCTTGAGAAAAAATAAGATAAAATTGTTGCTATTTGTTTCACAAAGACAACCTGCACAAAATCGTAACAGGACAATCTTTTCAATTTCTAGTTTTACTGGCTTCCTTACCTTCCTCTTAGCTTTCTAACAACATGTAGTGTATTATACCCTGGCACAGGCTGCAGACAATGATATATGCAACTATATGGTTGTGTATGTCGAATGTCACTAAGATGAGAATAAAATAAGCAAGTTTAAACTGAGGACGTGAAAGACATGAAGTATTATTTACCTTATTTGAAAAATACCACATTGTATGTGTGTTCTTGATAGTTGTTACCATTGTGCTGCTCTTCATTTAGAGCAGGCAAATTACTCTTTACTTGAAGGCCTTTATTATGGAAACTTTCCTTTGCAGCTGGTGTTGACATTGAAATTCAAATGTAATTGCTGACTGATGTGTAAGGGATGAGTAAGGAATGAAGAGAAAAAAAATTAAACACAGTTCTCTAACTCAGTGCCTAGTGTCTTGTTCCATTGTCTAGGATGAAAAAGAAAATAAAAATTATAAATAAATAAATGAATAAAGTCAAAGAACAGAGAAGAAGAACTGAAAGACAAAAAAATCAATGGAGGAACACTCATAGTCAAAATTTAGGCTTTCAGCCAGCCATCAAATTGATTTCATATGGATTAGGTCCAAGGACCCAATACAAAGATGAAGAATGGACTTTCCCCTCAATGATATAATCCTGGGTAATACTGACTGGGAAATAGAAAAGGAAAGTCATCATAATATTTTATTTTTTGAATGACTTAAAAGCATGGGAAATCAGTTCATAGGAATAAATAAATGCAAATTGCCGCAGGATTTTGATTATTTTGGAGATGGCATTTATCTCTAAAGCTGTCAGAACATAACTCACTGTATTTAACTTCATGATGTTTCCTCCTTTAACTTACCTAAGAGTATATTTGTCTGTTCTTTTAAAGTGAATTTTGTACTCATGGAAATAGTATGCCCACTTGCTTCAGAGCAAATGGCAGCAATGGAAACAAATTCAGTTCAGATTAAATAAAAGCTTAACTATAGAATATTATAGAAAATTGAGGTAAACTTCAACAAACAAAGTCAGCAAGGGGGTTATTCTTTCTTTGACAGTCTTAAAAAGATAATAAAGGCATGTGAAAAAGAAGACAGTTGTTAAATATATATATATGGAGAGAGAGAGAGAGGGATTAATAGTTTGTTTCCTTCTTTTTCCTCTTTGGTATGGAAGAGAAAGAAGGTGTTACTGCAGTTCTGCCTCCCTTGCTTCTCATTGTTAGAGGTTTTAGTTGTTGTTTTATATGAAAGCCATATATATTTAGCCATAGAGTTATGACTCATATTACTGTAATTGTATAACATTTTTTAAAAAAAGAAATAAAGAACAAATGAAACATTTATTGGCATTAAATATCAATTAAAGTTGCTAATTAAATATGATTTTTTTATATGAGAGGTAATACTTTTCATTCATTTATGGCTGGTCTTACGTGTAGAAATTTATGTCACTATGATGTAGTCTATATGATGCTATAAATTTAGAGTTTAGTTCTTTATGTGGCATTACTGTTATATATTGAGGCTGGATTTGCACCTCATTTTAGAAATTTTATCATAGAAAGCATTATGGAAATGCATCTGTGAATGTTCAACACATACAATTTCTTCTTTACTTTCACCTTCTTTTCCACTTCCTCCATTTTCGGTCATTTAATTACTCAAACTTCGTGAACTTCCCTCCTTTTTGTCACTGAAAAATACCTACAAGCAGTACAAAGAAATCTGTTTCCATTTGCCAGTATTTGTATGTACCACAAGGGTTTTTTTTTCTTGGGGTCTTGGGTCTCCTTCCCCAACAGACCAGAAGACATTGGCATAGTAGGCTGAAGTGGCTCAAGGCTGCAGATGGTTAATCTCACTTCAAACTGCTGTGGGACTCTAGATCTCCTGAGTTGCGAGGCCTCTTTCTGGCTAATTTTCTGAAGTGATAGCTTTTAAACATTAGTAACTGAGTCCCTTGTTTTGACTTGACATGTTGCTGCCAGCGGAGCCTAACTCAGTGATGTCCACCTGAAAACATCCATTTGATTTAAGGTATTTCTTATAGACTACTGATTTCCAGTTGTCTGACAGTGAAAGTCTGTAGGAGTTAAAGAGTGTAAATTGTAAGTACATGACTTGATGCGGTAACTGTGATGTAACGCAAGGTCTAGACCGTGAATGATAGGCAGCGTGGCTAATGTTTCACATTAGTTGGTTTCAGAAAAACAAATTAATCTTGGTCCTAGTCTTCTGGTCATTTAATTCTAAGCAGCAAGACAAGCAGCAAATGTGTCGTTCTTTGTTTCTAAAATCTGATAACTACAGTACAGGAACAAAAAACAGTAGCACAGTTTTTCCTACAGTTTCCAAGGAAAGAAACAAAACCTGATTAGTTCAGATAAAATCTCCCTAGTAATGGCTGAATTGTTCACAGTTTACTTGCTGTCTTCCTAATAAAAACCCTTTGAAAAATTTGAGTGTGATTTTTGTCATTGCTTCCTGTTCCTTTCACTATATTCTTTTTTCTGAGCAGGTCCATCCTTATCAAAAGTAGAGTGACTTGTAGAGCTATGTAGGTCAGGAGAATGCTGGTCCAGGTTAGGAAGCATTTAAATGAATGTGTTAAGGGAGCACTGCTCTTAGTGGAAGATTTGGTGTATGATTTGCTGCTGTGTGTTGCCTTTACCGAAAAACAATTTCCCAAGCTTTTGTACCTTAATAACATACAGCTATTAAACATTTAATACCTTCAGTCTGTATATTTTCACTGATACGATGTTATTTCAGAAAAAGAAAATAATGATTTTGCAAAAAATAAAACCTTTGCAGCAGAGCAAAACAAACCAAAATCAAACAGCGTGCAGAATTATTTCTACTGCCTGCGCTGGAGACATTTAACTAGGACCGTAACCTTTAGAAAAAGGGGAAAAAAAATAGCCCAGAAGATGAAAATATGAGAGTATGTGTTGTGAATGTGTGGATATCCTGCAGCTAATTCTGTGTCTGGTGAACTAAAATTATCCCTTTTTGCCTTATAGGTTTTTTAAGTACTGGGGACCAAGCTGCAAAAGGCAATTATGGATTGCTTGACCAAATCCAAGCTTTGCGTTGGATTGAAGAAAATATTGGATCTTTTGGAGGAGACCCAAAAAGAGTTACTATTTTTGGATCTGGGGCAGGAGCTTCCTGTGTCAGTCTTCTGACACTCTCTCACTATTCAGAAGGTAAGGAAAGCGTACAGTAATGGAGAAATGATTCTTTTATGATCTATTGTAAAACAAAGCAAAATAAAACAGAATATATATATATATTTTAAAAATAGCCAAATCAGTGGATAGAATTATACTACATCTGGAATTCTTGTAAAATACCCACTATTTAATGTTCTAGATTTGTATTTGGCATCATAAACATTCTTGTCTACCCTCTCAACATGTATTTAGATTATTTCCTTAATTAATAACAGCAGAACTCAAACTTACGCAAAAAATTAATATAACTCCCCACAGTTATTGTGAGATCCTACACAGAATTTTTAAGATTTTGGCAGAATGTCTACCATAAAAAAAAAAAAAAAAAAAAAAAAAAAAAAAAAAAAAAAAAAAAACAGCAAAAGAATAAGAATGTATGGAACTGGTACCATATACATAATTTTCTCTGAAAGTAACGCTAATATAATAAAATAGGAAGCATTATTTTCAGTGTAGCCCTCATAGATACCTGTTGGTAATACCAACACTGCAAAAAAAATTATAATAGAAGACAAAAAAATTGCTGTGGTTTCACACTGGTGGGAAACTGTGCTCCACTGCGCCACTCTCACTCATACTCCTCAAATGAAGACAGAAAGAAAATGTGATGAAAAAAGCTTATGTGTTGGAATAAGGACAGGGAGATTACTCTCCAATTACCTTCTCAGGCCACACAGACTTATCATAAGTAGACTAATGCAATTTATTGTATTTTGCTAATAACAGGCTAGAGCAGTGAGAAACTAAAAAAACACCTTCCCCTCACCCATCCTATTCTGCCTCCTTCTCCTGAGCAACACAGGAGAATGAGGAACGGAGACTGCAGTCATTTCATAATGCTTCATCCTTGCCGCCCCCCCATGGCCACTCTCAGCCCCTGCTCCATGTGGGTCCCTCCCACAATGCTGTTCTTCCTGAACTAATAACTTTGTAAAAAAAGCCCAATACAGCTAAATATCTATCATATTCATAATACCATGCTACTCCTATCATACAGAAATGTATGGAAGAAAGCTCAGCTCTAGCAAGCCATTGTAGAATGATTGCTGGTAAACACATCCTATTTGGAAGCACATAGAATTATTCCTGACAATTTAGGGTAGTGACACAACGGCATACAGTAAGTAACGGTTGAGTAAGCCCTGCCAAAAACAAGCAGATGGAACAATGGAAAGTCTAACCAATGACATCACTGAAATTTTGTGATATGTGCAGTAAGTTGTTACCACCAAGGGTCTATTGGTCTCAGTCATTTTTCCTTGTAAATGCTTCGAGGTCTTCAAATGCTTTTGTAGCTCTTGCTGTCTTTGGTATTTCAAGAGTTTGAATGCAGAAATCTTGTGTAGAAGAGGCCCAAGCATTTTAATTTAAGTATACAATAGGTCTTTTTACTGACTTTACTAGGAAAAAGGAGATGAGGCAGATCTTCCAGTAAGCTCCGATTGCTTTTCAGTGCTTTGCTGTCACAAAGAAGCTCTTCAGTCCTAGTCTCTGTTTGCTCTGTGTATTAATACATCTAAAACAACCACAAGGAACTATTTATTTTTGTCTTATATTCTTCCAAAACGTGCAAACATATTTTAATTTGCCATATAGGTAGTGCTTACATACAATCATGCGTATTAATTCACCATATAGGTAGTACTACACACAATCATGCGTACATATATATGTATGTATATTCTTTATGTATATACTTCAAGGTGGTAAAGAAAAATGTCAGAGGAGAGGGCTTATGCTTATTAAATTGATTTTAGCAGAGCACATTTTTTTGTATTAAATGATGCATGGCTTCTGTGAAAGAAATGAGAGTGTGTAATTCTCGTTTGACCTTTAAACCACTGAAGAGTGCATTTATGAGAGTCATCGACATGGCAAAGAGGTTATGATTGCTTGTAGCTGCCACCCCTTTACAGAAAAATTTTACAGGACTACCACTGTGCTAAAATCAGGGGACTTCCATTAAAGAAAAAGAAAACTGCATTACAAGCATGAGTTTTATTCTTGAAACAATAATCTGAAACCTTAATTCTTTCTCTACGTGAGCAACAAGAACAAGAGAGGTTTAAATTAATAGCCTATTACAGACACTGTAAAAAGGAAATAGTGAGAAAATTATATGCAAACTGAATTGAAATATAGGAATATGCATTCTTTAGTCGAAAGCATTCTTTGCTTAGTGAAAGCTGCTTTTAATTTTAATTTCTTTTTAATATAATTTGATTTGCATTTAAACAATTTGCACCTGCAGGTTTGTTCCAAAAGGCAATCATACAGAGTGGAACAGCCCTGTCCAGCTGGGCAGTGAACTATCAGCCTGCCAAGTACACTCGGATATTGGCAGATAAAGTCGGCTGCGACATGCTGGATACCACTGATTTGGTTGAATGCCTTCGGAATAAGAACTACAAAGAACTCATTCAGCAGACCATCACTCCAGCCACGTACCACATTGCCTTTGGCCCTGTGATAGATGGAGATGTGATTCCAGATGACCCTCAGATTCTCATGGAGCAAGGCGAATTCCTTAACTATGATATAATGCTGGGTGTGAATCAAGGGGAAGGTTTAAAATTTGTGGATGGCATTGTAGACAATGAAGATGGTGTTTCTCCCAATGATTTTGACTTTTCTGTCTCCAATTTTGTGGACAATCTATATGGTTATCCAGAAGGAAAAGATACACTCCGAGAGACCATTAAATTCATGTATACAGACTGGGCAGACAAGGAAAACCCTGAAACAAGACGAAAGACCCTGGTAGCACTTTTTACTGACCACCAGTGGGTTGCTCCTGCTGTTGCCACTGCTGATCTGCATGCCCAGTATGGATCTCCAACGTATTTCTATGCATTTTATCACCACTGCCAAAGTGAAATGAAACCAAGCTGGGCTGATTCAGCTCATGGTGATGAAGTCCCGTATGTGTTTGGCATTCCTATGATTGGCCCAACAGAATTGTTCAACTGTAACTTTTCCAAGAATGATGTCATGCTCAGTGCAGTTGTTATGACATACTGGACAAACTTCGCCAAAACTGGGTAAGTTTGACCTCTAGCATTCCTTCTTGTTGATAACACGCTCCTAAAATAGTCAAATTACCATAGCAGTGGCTCCAAGCCTGTATTGTGACTTACGATTATAGCACTGTTTAGTATGTGTGAGGCACTATGTAACTGGGGCTTATTCATATTTAATAGATTTTTAATTAGTGTGTTCCTGCAAACTATTTTCTTTCAGTAGCTCAGTGAGAAGAATAATGCACTGTATTTTTGATTCAGAAATAGGGCAATTATTAAGAAAAAGCCTTTTTTAGAGAAAAAGCAGTTCACTAAGATACTGAAAAATCAGAGGAAATGTATTCTACCAGAAGAAAGAACAGTCAGGCAGATAGAGCTTATGTCTTAGAAAAGTAAGAAAGTTGTTTTCTTTTTAGTGACCTTCATAGGAATGGGAGCTCAGAGAAAAACTGAATCAGAAAGGCAGACACTAGAAAGATTTTTTTTTTCCCTCTGTAGGCTGTAATGGCCATAATGAATAGTGGGATGGGATGAAGAAAAGACTCAGATATAAATTTTGCTTTGAGGTTAAAAATTCAAGTTAATTCTGCTTACAAAATAATACATCAATATTTTGCGGAAAAAGAATTATAGACATGAAGGAAAAAACCATCAGAGCAGCTTAATATGTGAGTGCTATTAATAATTTCTCTGTTTTCTGTATCATTCCTCTAAATATTATTCTGGTATTTTACATGTACAGCAAGGACTTCTTTGTTGACCTTGAGTCTTCAGTACTGAACAAAGATACTTATGGCACAACGGTGCTGTAAATCTTCCCATGCTTAGTGGCAGGATTGGACTCTGAAAATCGCAGCTTTACTGCAGTGCAATTAGTAATATGCAGCGTTATAAGAAAAATTCAAAGACGCCCATTGTGAAACTTAGAGCTCTTAGCAATCTTTAACATATCAAGATGATGTTCAAGGCAGAGACTTTTTGCAGTCATAGCAAAAACCTTGATATTAATTAAAACACAATCCAATATTTCAGCTCACTTTACAAGGCAAGAGAAAACTTAGGTGCATTGTAGACAAGCAGGTACTTTTGAATGCAGAAATCCCATAGCACTGAAGCAAAAGCGAATAAACTGTGAAATATTTAGATGTATGTGGAAACAATAAGACATCAGTTGGATATTGGGGTAGACAAACTGGTGAAAGCTTGGCTTATGGACAAATAATGCCACATGTTGACTGTAGTGCACATTCAAAAAGAGTATTTTATCATGATTTTGTTTTTGTATGAATTAAGTGTCACATGCACGTAGAGGACATGAGGTTCTTGCAAATGTGCAAGATTGGAATTATTACAGAGATCTCCACATTCCCACTGTTAGTAGCAGTTTCTTTTATGATTATTCCCTGTACAGTAAGTTGCATCTAAACAATTTTTAGGAAGTTTCTTTCAGCCCCAACTGCCACTATTACTCATAGTTGCAAGCAGTTTGCAGCTGTTTCTACTTGAAAGCTAATTTCAGCAAGCTACACTTAACCATCACCCAGTTATGAACCCATGTGTTAGCCTTTTCAAAACCTTGTTTCTAGCTTAGCCTAGAAATAGGGAAGTAATTTGTTACAGAGAAGGTGAGACAAACTAGATTTGGGATATAAAAATTGCATGAATATATGGCTTTTGATTCCACTGTGTGGAAAATTATATGTGAGAGCTTCATTAAGAGGTGCACTTAAAGCTTCAGTCCACTGGCAGTAGTACTATCCTAACAGAAATTGTAATTTTATATGCACAAATGTTCTGTCAGTTAGGGCCGTGTGTTATACTCCTCGCAGATGCATCAGCAGAGGGAGCGGGGATGATGTGAGGGGATGTGTGCCAGCCCTTAATGAATACTCTGAAAGTGACACTCTTGTGAAAAAGGGTTTGCAGTTTCACAAAGTGGATATGAAACTATGTTCTCAGAAACATTTATCAGGTTTCTAAAAATTACCCTCTTTTGAGTAGTTAAAGTACTCTGAGTCTTTGTCCACACTTATCCATCTCTTCTCAAGTGCGAAAGATATACGTGTAAAGAACAAATCCCGAATTTCTTTGTAATTCAGAGGAATACTCCTGAATTATTTTATTGTCACTGATTCTGAAGCAAAATGTTAACTGAGTTATTAAGGATATCTGTTCAGTTTGCCTTTTTAAAGAAAGACATAGTTAAACTTATAAAGAGTAAATGTATTTTCAAATCAATCTTCTGTGAACTCCTTTATGAACTTTGCATTTCTTTTGATGTTTTCTCTGAAGGAATAACGGTTTTCAATAGCGAGTCTGTTGGTCAGATGAAACAGAGTATTTATGCATTGCTTTCCTCAGTAGCTCATAGCTGATTGGAAGTATGGCAACAGTGGGAACAGGTAAAAGTGAGGGAAGGAAATATAGGCAAAACCATGATTGTGTAGCAGTGTTTCAGGGAGGAATGGCAATCTCAATAATAATAATGAGAGATTACTTAAAAAATCAAGGAAAGTGTGAAGAAACTCTACAGAGTTTTTTTTTGGTTTTTTTTTTTTTTCTTTTTTTTTAAAATATGTATTAAAGAAGACTGCTTAAGGAAAATAAATTACCAGTAGGCCTTTCAGTGGTTTGGAAGCAGACTCGTTGTGTAACTGTCAGGACATTTTACTCTCTGATGAAGTAAAAAAATGACACCAAAAATGAAATGCATTAATTTAACAATTCCATTATTGTGACTAATAGTTAATGCTCTTGCAAAATTACATAAAAGAAAAATGTCATTTCGACATGCTATTTGGAATTCTGGATAAGAGAAAATTTCCTAACATTTCTCAAAATTCTTCTGGTGAAACAGAAGACTCTATGAAATAGAGTTCCCTCATTTTCCCTATGGGTCACCTACTAATTCTTGTGAACAGGAATGTGTGCTACTCTTCAGTCAGCATTTATTGCAGACACATTTACTTCATAGCACTTGAGAAAAAAAATGTACATTTGTAACCCAAAAGGTGAGAATTTAATGACAATAAACTGCAACATGTTAAATTGAGCAAAGCAGTGCAGGTTGAAAGTGGGAAAAAGAAAGTGATAGGTGAAGTCAGATGATTTTGCATTTTAATAAAAAATGTAAGATAAGAAAGATTGTCATGTATATTTCAGACAAGTTCATGCGTTTCACGACAGGAACATTTTCAGGGGTAGAATCTGTTTAATCTGAACTCTATAAATTATGAAAACAAATCATCAGAGGAAAATAAGAGCAACAACAAACATTATTTTTATTCTAGCAATAGGATAAATAAAGAATTACAAACAAAAAATCCTGACAAAAAATATTCCTCCCTATCAACCAGTGAGATTGGGAACCAAGCTATGCACTGTGAGATTTGTTGCATGAAAAAGTATAGAACTGAAAAACTATTCAGATTGTATTTTTATCATCATAATTAGAATGTGTTTTTAAAGGAAAATCTTCTGTCTCCTTTTGTTCTGTAACTACACACTGGAACCACATGAGAGTCCAGAAACACCAAATTGACGTGAGAGGCTAAAAAAAAGGAAAATAGAAGTAGTTATAGTTAATGTAGAAGATCAAAAGTTTTTTGAACAGCTAGTTGTATAGGAGAAAAGACAGTATCTACATAGGTCCCTCCAAAAGTAATGCCTCTTGTTTATTTCAATGGAAATTACAACAGATGCAAAGAGCACGGTAACACTAGCAAATTCTCAGCTACAAAACACTCTTTTTCAACATAGTCACCACTCTGAGTAATGTGATGAGCTGACTGAGATGCTGTTCATTTTGTAGCATGACAGTTGTGCTTGACCATCCAGAACACAGCTTGCCTTTCACACTGCTATCCCCATGGCTGAAATGTACCACCCGCCGTTTCACTGTGTTCACATCCACTGTTTGGTCTCCAGAAACATTCAGTAAATGTCAATGAGTGTCAATTTGTACCATTTTTTCTGCATGGAGGAAGTCAATGACACGCCATGTCAGAAGCCATTTTGTCAGACTGTCCCACTGCTGCCATACCACCATCATCTACTACTGATATTTTGAGCCAATATGATAAAATAAAAGGCATTACTTTTGGAGCAGGCTTTGTACATCTATATTTTATGGCTATCCACAATACTGGAAACGTGTTTTTTTTTTAATAGGATACTGGAAAAAAATATTTATAAGATAAACTCTTTAACATCACCAGGAAAGGACTCATCATGTCATAACTTGTAAAGTTATGATGTTATGAAATATCACCAGTGAGCATAGAAGGAGGGACAAAATAAAAATTTTCTTATTTACATCCACAGGATGATTGTGGTAAGTTATATTACTGTGTATTAGATCCTTTAGCTAGAACTATATTTAGTCATTTTCTTATGAAAAAATTATTTAGGTGCCTATCTTCCAAGTTCAGTTACACAATATTAAGACCATCTACTCAATTATAGATTAACCCTAGAATTGATGCCAACAATACAGTTTAGTATCAACTCACATGCAGTCGTCGTGTTTACGACTGACTGCTTTTTTTTTCTGTTCAGTGTTTTATTGGGGTATTTCATGCTAATATATGGCCATGTAAACAAATCCCAGTATATAAGACTAGTCTCATGTATCTGTAGCTTCCCCTCTTGTGCTTGGAGGAGGATTCAGTATAAATCAGTATTCCTAATAGACAGTTAAAAAGGAGACATGGAGTTACCAAATAGAACAGCAAGAAAGAAAAGGAAGGTTAATATTTATATATTCATAGGCTGTTTCTAGAGGAAGAATTTTCATTTCAGAAAGTTACTTGCTAAAATCATTGTCTGCATCATTTGTGTATGGACACTAAAAAAAAGTCTAAACATTTTGGTGATTTCTGTTTTGATAAAGTTCAATTTCCTTTTACTTTCAGTGAGTCCTAGATTCTTCCTTCCTCTTTCTTAAACTATTCATGAGAAGAGGGAAGGGATTAGAAACAAAGTATAGTTAGCTGAACTACTGAACTTCTTCATCTCCTCTACTATGAATGAAGTACAACTCATTTACATGAGCTAGTTTAATTTACGTCTTATGTAGGATCCTTTCCAGAGTCTGTGAGTCTGAGAGTCTGTTCTGAATCAGAACAGCAAGAGGGAAGAACGCAAGGGGCGTTTTAGCTGTAACTCTTCCAGGATTTTGAGTGTCTGAAAGAAAAATGCTTTGCATTTTAATAATCATGTTGATTTTTTGTTTGTTTTAGAATTTATGTGTTGAGCCCAAATGCACTGTGGCAGATATATTGTGCTGGGCCAATATCTTCCCTTTTGAATTTGCTAAATCCTTCACTGTGCTCTTTGAGAATAGAAGAAATACTTTCATTTCCTTCCTCAATGCATGTTAGAATCCTTCAAAGTATGAGCATATTAAAATCCAATGCCTCAGTACTTGGAAACTGATTTTTTTTTTCAAGCTTCAGCCATAGTGAATAATTAATAAAAAATTACTATTTTCAGAATTTACAGAATTTATATAAAATAATAATACTAAAAAATAGCTACCATTCTTGAACTTTTAGTTTATATCCTATTGAGATGGGAAATACTTTATCCAGTATAATATGGAAACCCACATACATAAACAAAACAAAGTACTTAAATTACACAGAAAATGAATTATTTCTTCAACTTGAAAAAGGAAAAAATATTTCAGGTAAACAGAGGAATGAAAGAATCGTAAGATTATTAAAACCAAATTATCAGTCCATTTTGAGAACAGTTAAGGAATAGATATTTACAAACAACAAAGGAGCACTAAATTTGGTAATCGTGCTCATGAGCCTTTGGAAACAGAAATGAAAAAAAAAAAAAAAAAAAAAAAAAAAAGCTTTAAAATATGTAACAGTAGTTCTTCATATTCCCATAACATTCATAACAGTACATTGGAAGAAAAGGAAAATATTAGAATCATTTTCACTGGAAATAAACTAATGCATATGGGAATGGAAAGGAGAATGGAAAGTTTTCAGAGCAAGGCACAGAAAATAAATCATATGCTCTCAGTAAAATATATCACAAAGTCTCTGAAAATATGCTTTACGGCTAGAGAGGATTAAAACTAATGTAGGTCATAATAGTAAACTAATAGATTTATTTTAAACTCTTTATTTGTTCATGCCCAGAGAAAGTTATATTTATCTAAGTAAGGCTTGCCAAAATTATAAGGGTATGTGTATGTTAACCACATTTAATACCTATTATGTTACAGACTTGTCTTTATTTCGAATCTTTATGAAAGAAATAAATGAGAAGAAAAGATAGAAGATACATAATTGCAGTAAATTATTTGGGTTAAGTTCAGTAAAAAAGGATAATAACATTTTTTGAATTCAATTATTTAATTGCAATTGCTTTTAAATGCCATTACTTAGTTAACTAATATAAAACTTGTCAGCTAATGTAGGTCTTATCCATAGGAGCTGGGACAAAACTACAGCTTCTAAACCCATATATAGTTCCTTGTGTACTGAACACTTAATGCAAAATGCAAATTATGGACTGATTTGTGGCAGAAAAATAGTTCAAAGTCTTATCCCAAAGTAGATATCTGAACAAAGGGTTATTAATAGCTCGGTAAAGGAACACAGGGACATGTTGTACCCAAATACCTGTATTAGCCCTGATACTTGTGTTTTGAAGCTCTGTGTAAGACACATTCATTATAAAATTTCATGATCGCATGTATTTTCAACATTTTCATAGAGATTAGATGACTAATTACAGCAGTGGAAGTAGTATTATAGTAACTGAGAATGTTGATGTCAAATCTTGAGAAGAACTGAGCCTAAACCTTTACAAACTATGGGAGAAGATAATTAATACTTCTCTAAGACTACTTTAGTGTATGTGACTGCCTCACAAAACTCTGGATGAGTTTTGGTAACTGAAACACATCCTTTCTTTTTTTTCATTCAAGAAAGAATTGTTGAATCTAAGATACATTGTACTGTAAGTATTTAGACTTTTGTTTACATAATAACGTGCAGTGTAAATGTTGGGAAATTTTCCAAGCTTCTCTTTTTGGGTTAAGTGGAGGATTAACCCTTAACTAAGGGACAGAATTTTGTTATTGTTGTTGCTGCTCTAAAATGACTATAACATTGCTTTTTATTTTTGTAGAGATCCAAACCAGCCAGTTCCACAAGACACAAAGTTCATCCACACAAAACCAAACCGCTTTGAAGAAGTAGCCTGGTCCAAATACAATCCTAAAGATCAGCTTTATCTGCATATTGGCCTGAAACCACGAGTTCGTGATCACTACCGAGCAACAAAAGTTGCTTTCTGGTTGGAGCTTGTGCCACACCTTCACAACCTGAATGAAATTTTTCAATATGTTTCCACAACAACTAAAGTACCCCCTCCTGACATGACATCATTTCCTTATGTTACCCGACGCTCTCCTGGTAAATTGTGGCCAGCCACCAAACGCCCAGCAATGACACCTGCCAACAATCCCAAACATTCAAAAGACACTCATAAAACAGCTCCCGAGGATACAACAGTTCTGATAGAAAACAAGAGAGATTACTCTACTGAGCTGAGCGTCACCATTGCTGTGGGAGCATCCTTGCTGTTCCTCAATATTTTAGCATTTGCTGCATTATATTACAAGAAAGACAAGCGGCGTCACGAGACTCACAGGCGCCCTAGCCCCCAGAGGAACACAACCAATGATATCGCACACATACAAAATGAAGAGATCATGTCATTGCAGATGAAACAGCTGGAACATGACCATGAGTGTGAATCACTGCAGGCCCATGACACGCTGAGACTAACCTGTCCACCTGACTACACGCTTACTTTGAGAAGGTCTCCAGACGACATTCCACTCATGACTCCCAACACCATAACCATGATCCCAAATACATTAACAGGAATGCAGCCTTTGCATACTTTCAACACCTTCAGTGGAGGACAAAACAGTACGAATTTGCCCCATGGACATTCAACTACTAGGGTATAGCTCAGCCCTTCCCCCTCACAAGCCACCTGGAAGAAAGAGAAAAAAAAAGAAAAAAAAAAAGAAGAGGAAAAAGTTATAATACCATTCATTGAACACCTTGTCCAAATCTTAAGTAAAAACAAGTAAAAGAGAAGGACAGACATTATTTTCTTACTGTTCCTTCCCAAAGAAACTCTCTGATGTTAAAGATCAACTATAAACCCTGTGAAATGTGAAAAGTGTACATTGCTGTTACAATACTGCTTTAAGATCTCAACCCCTTTAATTGAAAGTTGAGGCCAGAAGAAGTCACTTAAAATGATGTTTTGAGCATATCAAGCAAAGCAGACTCTTCTGGAACACAGAGCCACTGACTGTACAAATGTTTTGGTTTTGGTTTTTTGTTTTTGGTTTTGTCTTTGGTTTTGGTTTTTTTGTTTGGTTTCTTTTTAATAAATAAAAAAATCTTTATGTGCCATACGATGAATGGCCCTTGTTGAAACAAAGACATCATCATGGGCTTTTACCCAGCATATGAAGCTGTAATCCAGATGGGGGAAATAGAATTTTATTATTAATAACAAAAATGGAAAAAAAAAAAAAGAGGAGGACTGACTATGCAGTAAAATACGTATAGTTCTGTGCACAGAGGTGACTTGCCAGCCTGAACTATATTTAAAGAAACTTTGTAAAAATGTACATAGATGTGCGTTTAAAAACAACTACAAAAAAAAAAAAAAAAAAAAAAAAAAAAAAAAAAAAAAGCTTTTATTGATGTTTTCAGTTTGAAAAGAGCTTTTAGAAAGGTTGTGCATTCAGTTGTGACCTATGTGTATATACATTAGTCATATCACCTCTCTTTCCTCCAAGGCCAAAGGAGGATTTTCTTCTTAATTACTAGTGGTAAACAAAAAACATGAGGTTTTTCTAACATTTCATTTATATGAGGCCATGGTGTCATGCAGAGGATAAAGTTGTCTGTGTGACCTGCATATTTTCTCTTACAGGTTACACTAGTGCATGTTAAAGTATTCATAGGAGATTGCTGTTCTTTTCTGAAACATTTTTTTTTTTTAATAATTTAATTTTGTGTTAGCTTTTGTTAAATTGCAACACAGCAATGGATATGAAAATGGAAAATAATACAAAACAAACAAACAAACAAAAAACAATTACTATATCATAAGCTTATTGAATGAAGAGACATCCAGTAGTATATGTTCAAAAGTCCAGTTTGTAGTTCTTGGTTATTGAGATAAATGAGGAAGAGTCTCGTGCCCTGAAAATAGCAACAAAAGACCCTGTTTATGTTAGCATTTTCTGAGCAAACATAGCTCTATATTCACCAGCAGTTGCAGAGGGATCTCAGATGAGAAAATACCTCCTCAGCTTTGCTAAACTAAAGAAAAAGTGAAATTTGAAAGAACTTCTCTGCCCAGTATTCTGTTTTGCACTTGAGGAAAGAATCTTCCTGTCAGAACATACTTTGCTGCTTTATTACACAGCAGTGCCATTGTTAGTGAAAATTATGGAAATAGAAGCAAAGTCATCAGATGTGATGCATCTGAATGTAATTTCAAATTCTAGATAATATTATTGTCAGGAAAGTCAAAACTCCTGGCTGATTATTCCCTTCTGCCCTTCCTTCACCTGGAAGAGCCTTGCAGTGCTATCAAACAAGGAACTTAGCAATTTGATTCAAACAACTGAATTGAATGTGAAAAGCTAAAAATAAGTTCTCGCAGATGAAGATTGCTTTGCATTTTGTCTTAGAAATTTACTGCGTCATCAAGAGATCATAACCAAAGATATTTGAACAAAATTGGTCTGCACTTGAACATGGTTATCCCAGATGTATTTTGTATTATAAATTCATGACTAAGCTGCATCAATACCATATGTCCCATAGTAATCTAACACAGGATGCCTTGTACCTCTTTTTGTTTTCAATACTTTTTTTTTTTTTTTTTTTTTTTTTTTTTTTTTTTTTTTTATTTTAATAAGACATCTTGGAATAGTCCTTATGGTGAATAAAGGTGACAAAATGATTCACTGAAGTCAATACAACTCCTTGTTATAGCATGCAGTAAAGCAGATTCTGAAGGAAAGAAATAAAAGGAAAGTTAATTATTCAACAAAAAATACAACATGTGGCTGATATAATCCCTTACCTGTAATAAATGTACTATTACCTGACCTGGATGCTCAGGTTGGAATACGATGAAGCAACAAGCCCAAAGTACAAGTCGTAGCAAATGGAAAACTGCCTTTTTCACTGATCCATCACATAATATTGATTAATGCTTACTCTAGACCAGACCATTTCCACCACCTATGTGATGCCTCAGCTGAGATGAAGCAGTTCATATCTCTTAAAATAATAATATTAAAAAAAGAAAAAAAAAAGAAAAAAAAAGAAAATAGTTAAAAAAAAAAAAGAAAAAAGAAAAAAGAAAAAAGGTATTGATGCTTGGCATCATAATCAGTTGGGTATGTTTGTAATGTGAATTACAGTATTTGTTTAGTACTTCCAATTGTCTTCTGCTAGCAATATGTACAGTACTGTGTCAGGCTTGTGACATTTGGGTTAAAAAAAAAAGTTCCTGTAAGTGAATGATTTTAGCTTTTAAAAGTAATTGCAATCAAGTTGATTTAATAATTCAGTACATCTGGACTGACATATGATTTATAGAGGGAACAGATTTATAGGGTCTTATTAGAATTCTATAATAATAATAACAAAATATACTTTGAAAACTGTAAAAGAAAAACAAAAGTACTTTCCCAGGCTTATATTCTTGACCTTACGAGGCACGCAGGGTTTAATGGTTTCTTCTGTTATTGTTTTGCGATCTTTTGTTTTTTTGCCTTAAGTAATGATAGAAGATATATATGGCTGGACACATATGTATAAACTTTTCAGCAGCATTTTTAATAATAAATATCACAGTATTTTCTAATGCTTTGTGCAAAGAACTACGTGTTCATCCTTTTTTTTATAGAAAGTCTTTCAGGCGTACATTTTCTGCCCCATCTCCACTTCATTATCTTATGTAAATGATGCCTTGATACACAATACACGAATATTAAAATACCAGAGGTCACACCATTAAGTTAGCACTGAGCTTTTGTGGCTTTTCTAGTTCTATAAAGCTACCAATAAAAGGAAAGAAAGTAAGACAATGAAGACATGAGAATAAACTCCTTATATTTATTATCTGTATGCATCTGTATCCCACCAAAGCAATGGTTTAATTGTTCTTTTAGTATTCTCTGTAGCACTGAAAAAGAGCTTAGGTAAGCAGCTTCCCCTATTAACGTGTAGCTTAGCAGCTGAGAAATATATCTTCCAAACTAAGGTTAAAAATGATTCAGAAAATCTAATAAATCCAGCCTCCACAAGTAAATACACTTTCACTTCATATTTAAAATTCAGGTAAACGACAAGTTTTCTAAGAAAAATATGTAGGAGTAGCAATATAAGTTACTCATATATGTGGAGGGGATTTACATGTATTGCAGATATGTTAAGATCATTCTTCCTTCAAAAGTTCAGTGAGCAAATATAGTTTGTTCTTTTATGCTATTAAATTCATTTTGTCACTCAGATTTCCCTCCACTGAAAAGGTACATAGACATTTTAGTAATTTTGGCTGGATATTGTTTGCTTTCTGTAATTATTCTATTGAGTGGAGGTAGTAACAATAAGGTTTGATGAACTTTGAGTGTATTATTGAAGAGTATTTGCAAAAAGCAAATTCTGAATGATTCATATCAGATTTTTGATATGAAAACCAAGCTTCTGAGATAGAAACATATTATGTGCCTATTGACTTAATCAAGCAGCTTGAATTTTGAATATTCAATTTGTATATAAAGCTTTTGCAAATAAACTGCAGATTTAGAATTGTTCAGAAAATATGTTTAATTACAGGTAAACTGAAATTTCACAGCTTGCTTAGAGATAGATAATTCATACACAAGAAAAGAGGCTATAATTGTGTCATTTCTGTGAGCGTTCACCTTAAATTACTGGGTGAACTCAATAAATAACCTTTTTTGCAGTTATGGATTTCACATTAAAAAAAAAGCTTCAGAAGTTTCTTGCTAATTAAATATTGTGTTGTTTTCATTCTTTGCTGTCTGACATATAAATCTGCAGATTAGTTTGTTTCTATTTGCACTTAGAAGTATGATAATTAAATAGCATTTTATATCACATAGAAATTGTACAAGAGAATACAATGATTATTTTGTGCTTGTCTCAAATTTGTAGATATACATCTGTATTATTTAATTAGTGTCAACTGTTTCTCATATTTTTGTCTACAGCTGTTTGACATCACAAATCTCATCAGCCTGAATCTCTCCAGAGACCATTAGCAGCTGGTAAAACTGGGATTTTCATCCCACTAGAAATTATGATATTATGCATTTAATATCGTAATGTTTAAAAATATTTCTCATCACCTCAAAATAAGTAAGATATTGACCTTTTATTGAAGCAAATGAAAAATAAGGGAGGGATTTGGAAATGTTTAAATAACTTGCTTGAGCTGTAGTGTAATAAACAACATATCACTTTGAGTTGCAGTTTTGATTCAAAATATTTTGTTTGTTGTTCAGCTATGGCCACCAAGGCTGTCACTCTGTTAGTTATGTTTTTGAAAGTTATGCTTTCATTTTTTTATGGCCCTTTCAGACTAGTTTATCCAAAAACCCAGCTCACACAGGAGTGACATTTGTAGGTTCCTCCAAAAGTAATGCCTCCACCATTAGCTCTGTGTTTTCTCCAATGATTAAAAATCTGTGCAGCCGTTTGGAACACGTCTTGTCTTTCACATCACTGTCACCATTGCTGAAATGTACACTTCACTGTGCTCACATCCACTGTTTGGTCTCCACAAACATTTGGCAAGTGTCAGTGAGTATTAGTGGGTGGGTTTTTCTTCATGGAGGAATTCAGTTCCATACTTTTCCTTCATCCACACTTCTATGTCAGACACCATGTTGTCGGACTGCCCCTTTACTGTCACAACACCAACATTTGCCTCTGATATCATGGGCTACCATAATAAAATAGGAGGCATTACTTTTGGAGCTGCCCTCATTGTTGCAATCCAATCACAAAATCCAGATCAGACAAAGAGTTTTGTCAGAAGCCAAATGAACTGCAAAGGTAATTAATGAGAATATACGTTAGTACTGCAATAACTGAAATGTAGAATAAGCATGTAATAAATTAGCTACATTTGATGTTTTTCAATTGAAAATTGACAGATGTTTACAATATGTACATTTTCCCAGCTTTATTTTCTGCCCCTTTCCCACAAAAAATAACAAGATATTTCCAGCCAGTTCTAGTCATTTCTTGAATATCCACTTAGGTAAATGAGAAACAAAACAGATGACATCTTTTTGTTTCCTACTCTCGGGTACTGAAAGCATAATTTTTTTTTCCACTCCTACCTCTTATCAGGAATTAGAGTTTATCTAGATGCTTCAGGGTAGTCCCATTACCCAAATTCCTAGTTTGATAGTAAAGGAAATCCAGACTTAGAACAGACTTATCCTTAGGCTAGCAACTAGTTATCTT